GTGTGTGTGTGTGTGTGTGATATTAAAGCAGGCTCTCGATTTCTCAAGCTGTCACTCAGGCCTATTAAGCAAGGCTAACAAAATTAGTCATGAATATGCAGTAATAACATGCAAATTGCCACCACTTCCCCCCACCCTGTGTGCATGTGGGTGTGTGTGAGCGTGTATATGTGTTTGCCCTCAGGGCTATAGACATTGGCTCTGTAAACCCAATTCTTTCTACATCATTACAGCAACAAGGCATAATTCATAAGACTAATATAAACATGCATGTAGACTGGCATGTATGCACAAGCACACACACATGCCCGTGCACATGTACACACACACAGGGCACGGGTCCCCTGTGATACCTTCTTCACATGTCAGGGCTGATACGCTGCAGGTTGCTGTTAACCATTTTTATGTTGAGATAAGAGTTTGGGGGTTTTCCGCGTTTTATGCTTAAACACACATGTCGGTGCATGCACATACACAAACATGTAGATAGTCTGTTGCCGCCACGTCCCCAGGGTGATGTTTGACACAGCCTGGGTGCTGCCACAGCAATTAACCTCCCTGTTAATGAGAAGAGCTCTGTCAAGCAGCCAGATGGCACCGCCTGGCACGCTGCCATGCACAGACACATATGCACATATGCCCACACCAGTTCGCTCGCAGATGCACACTCTCACACGTAGACACATTCACGAACGCGCGCACACGCAACCGTGTCTTTCCCCCGCTGTACGTCTAACTGTTGCTGGTTGTCAGCATCCCTCACCCCTTCCTAAGGCAACTCTCCCCCCTCCCTCCTTTTCCTCCGTCTTCACTTTTCTCCTGCATTGTCTTCTCTCCATCGTTCCCCTCTTCCCTCCCTTGCTCCATCTCTGGCAGCTGCTTATCCACGTCGCAGCACTGCAGATGTCACAACTCACCAGCTGGGAGAACAGCAGGGGAAGAGAAAAAAGGAGAAGATTTGAGAGGAGAGGAGGAGTTTCTTGTTGCTCCGTATTTGACAGAGAAGCAACCAAGTGGATGAAGATTTAAACGTGATTGACTAATCAAGTTGGACATCAGATTTGTTTGTTTGCAATTTTTTTATTACAGTGTTAGACTCCTGTTTGAATGGTAGGTTGTATTATTATAAAGTTAGTGCAACTACTAATAAAAAAGATAGATTTTTAGATTTATGCGAGCATGTGAATGGGTAAATACAGAATGTGTATATATGCTTGGCGTGTATGTGTTTGTTAATGAGTGTGGCACTTGGCCGGGGCACAGCCTGCTGTGTGTGCCTGTCTGCATGTCCACACCGCAGCCCACCAGGCCCGCGTATTGATCAGTTAGCTTGGCCTAATAGGAGAAGAGGAGCCTGACCTGGGAAAGTCAATATGGAGAAAAAGAGACATATCCTCCTCCCGTCCTGAGAGAGAAGTGGGAGAGAGAGGTAGGGAGAGAAAGAAACAGAGGCAAGAGATAGAGACAGAGGTAGAAAGTAATGTAGCATCTACAGTACTACTGTCAGTGCAAAGAAGAAAATGGTATGGGAAGTGTCGGGAGACTGTCAGAAAAACAGCTGGACAATAGAAAAACAAGCAAAGCCACGAGGAAAATAATAATGTATCAATGATGAACCTCCAGTCTCTTAAAGCCTAAATATCTTATCGCTTCTGTTAACAGAGAAAAGTTTGGAGTTGTGAATTAGAACAGTTACACTGAGGGATACTGCCTGAGTGTGAAATAAGTTAAGTTTCTACCTTTCCCAAATGAGAATCAGGATATTCTGTCAAAGCTTTTTTTTTTTTTTTTATACCTAACTAACTTTCAGCATTTGACTGCTTTTGGCAAAGGAAAACAGCACTCAAGTTAACTCAAGTGTAAAAAAAAAAAACTCTGCAGGAGATTATACTAAGGGAAATAATTAAAAAAAAAAATGGGGGAGATGGAAAATAAAAAAAAAACCTGACACCCACTCACACATCAATACATCGATAGATCAATGTGTGTGTGTGTGTGTGTGAGTCTATGTGTGTGTTCCGTACACTATTTCAGCAGAAATATATAAATAAATTTGTAGATAAACAAAAAAAAAACAAAAAAAAAAACACAGAGGAAACGGAAAAGTAGATAAAAGACTTAGGTTTCACCATGCACACGCTCACATACACACAAGCACACATCTGGCTGAGTGATGCTACCCTGGAGGGTGGCTTCAATCTGATGTGTTTAATGTTGACGCTGGTGGCAAGAAACACACACACTCACCCGCTGTTTCAACCTGCCTGTCATTTCATTTCATGAGACCTGATTTACTCATTTCATTTATTTCATTTTTTTTATTATTATATGTGCAGCCATTTAAAACGCTCAAGGTGTGATGCAAATCCCCACATCTCTGACAGCGAGTACGCTGACTGAGGATCCATCACGCCCTTCAGTGCCTTTTACAGGAATGGCAGAGAAACCCCGTACAGCCACAAACTCAACTGTGCCACATTGTGCCAGACCACTGATTTCTGCTTGGCTGGGTGCTTTAATTGGCTGCACTGCAGGCTGTCAAACTACTGACTGTTACTTTTGACCATATTTGGATGTGTTTTTAGTTTTCATGTGACAGCTTTTTAAAAAAATAAAATAAAATTATTGACTGCACTACCATTCCTATGTTTGGAAATTAACTGATTTATACAGTGTCAACTTCTAGGATGAAGCATTTGTCAGAAATCTATTACTTATTAGCACAAGATATCTATGAAAAGTTCATATGAAGCAGGAATATTCAAGTGTACAGTAGTTACATGGAGTCAGTTGAAATGTTTTATTTGTGCACTAGATTTCACTACCAAAATGTGGTCTTCACATCATTTAAACATCACAACCTCATCCTAGTCGGTTGAGTCCAGGTGTCTTGCTGGCGAAGGAGAAGTGTGGAACAGGTACATATGTATGAGCACGAAGATTTAAATTCAGAAAACACTTCTTTCATTAGTTTTGTCAAAATGTGTCAAACTTAAAATAAAAACCTGTCTTTCCAGAAAGGTCTAAAGTAGAAACAGAACAAGTCTTTAGGGGCCTCGGAGCACTGCATGGTGGGAAATATCATATAGGGATTTGCATATTGCCATGGGGACAGTGGTGTTGCAGTGACTCCCTAAGGAGCTCAACCTCCCTAAGGATAGACACAGTCCCTAAGGCCAACTCTGTTTCCTTTCTCCACAGTGGGGTATCTGGAGTGTGTGTGTGTGGTTGATTCATGAAGTTATTCGTTATTTCAGTCAAGAGCAAACTTTTACTTAGAGAAAAATATCACCTCATTGATGAGGAGGGAAGGTGAGTAACTGATAATCATTAGAAATCAGCCATACGTATGGTTTGGCTTCACATACCTGTGTGGGATGTGAACCATGGGTCCCTTAAGCTCATCCAGCAGCAACGTCCTTAGACTAACCTCAGACACCTACAAGAGAGAATTGGGATCAGAAGATCAGGGAAAGTGACAAAAACACCCCGATTATTAAACAACAAATTAAAGCTGCAGGTATGAAAAATTGTTTACAGCTTCAAAATCATTTTAATTAAGTACAGTTACATAATAGTGAGTAAAATATCAAGTAGTATGATCTAAGCGATATGAAACGGCCTTTAACGTGATGCTTTTCTGAACTAAGGCCGACTAATCTGGATACAGTTTCATTTTTAGCGCAATACAGCTCTATTTATCAATTAGGCACTGCTCAATAAAAGAAAAATACTCAAGCAGAAATTGATTTTTCCAGGTGCTGTAAACTGTTATGAAATTTGACAGCACCCAGGAGTAAAGGTGTGAAGTGTGTCACCCCTGACTAATTGCTGGGAATTTGCATCTTGTTGACCACAGCAACATGATGAGACTATCACAGGAAAAAGAGCTGGAGACATTACTATACAAATTGCAGCTCTAAAAATAAGCTATTGAAGGGGCAAAAGAATAAAATAAATCACTGCTTTCTGCTTTGCTCGTTTTCAAAAGAGGAACAACTGCACACAAATAACCAAAATCTAATCAAAAAAGCTGACAAAATCAAATATATAAGAAAGAATCGAAGATGAAATTAAAGCTAATCACTCTAATGATTGAATCATTTGGCTTTCCTCTTTGGGGATTTAAACATAATACATTTGATGCAGTAGCAGCGGAGGGAGTCGCTTGCTCTGAAAGGATGACACTGAGAAAGAAAGACGAGTTCGAGAAATCGAGGGAGACAAGAGAGACAGACATGAAATCACAGGCAAAGACACAAACATACACACACAGTCTTCTGCTCGTACGGGACAATTCCTAGGTCTCAAAAAAGCACTTGACATCACTCTGTCTACCATTCTCTCTGTGTGTCCTTTTTTTTCTGATTAAACAGCTGTGGAGGACGAGTTTCAAACTGCACTGAAAGAGAACAAAATGAGGAAGATACACAAATGAACCGAGCTTGAGGGGAAACGTTAACAGCTACGGTTGTCCGTTTTTTTCATTAGAAAGGACTATTAAGAAGAGAAAAGCAAACAGACAATGGACAAGAGGTATAGATAAGAGTTGAAAAGAGAAATAGGAAGATAAAGGAAAAAGACTTACAGAAGGAGAACGACAGGAGGGCCTGACAGAAAGAGAGAGACCCAGCAGTCCTGGTGAAATATCGGCCACTCTATCGCTGTGGTGACAGGGGTCACTCTGGGAAAAGGAAATCAATGCTGACAGCAATGACTCACAGGTCAACACATAGCCCTGTGTGTGAGTATACGTGTGTCTGTTTGTGTGTGTGCTTTGAGAAGGAGCTTGTGTGTGTGTTTTTCAATTATGCATATGTTAAGTGTGTATACAGCTGTGTGTTTGTCTGTATGCAGAATATAGGGGAGTCAAATAGTAACCCAAATATACACAAGGAAGACTATCCGAAAGAGAAGCTGGTGGAAAGATGAAATCCAGTCCATTAAATGTGATGTTAATATTTGATGCATATTGCTGGCAGACTGGTTGTGTTTATGTCTGCCGAGTGAACAGGCTGCTTTTTAGGACACTGGTTTAAAATAGAGTAAACCACAAACGACAGACAAACAGCTCTCCTTCTTCATTCTCACCGCGCCATGTACTTCATGAAACTAATTAAATTTCTATTTAAGCACCTTATGTCTGGAATAATGATGACAGAAAGGTGTTTTAATAGAACTGATTTGCTGTAATTTAATTTAACCTTCTGATTTCAGCATGGAGATCCTTTTTAAATGATATTGTATAATGTATTGCATACAACTGCACCATTACTGGTCTATATGAGAATAATATAAAAAGCCAAATAAGCACAGACTGGCTGTGGGCATGAATCCGGTCACCAAACCACATACAACACACAATTACGCATTCACACACACACAACATTTTCTCCCCCTATCATAAAACATTCAGATTCCAATGCAGCCGCAATGTGACAATGAGAAGACCTGGCAAAGGTAGAGGTCAGCAGCTAATATAGGTAGGCTGTGTGTGTTAGGGAATGTGACTGGGTGTGTGTGTGTGTATGCATGCCTTATATACCCTTGGGTTAGCAGGAGTTACGACCTGCTTACATTATTAAGGTGAGTAGTAGGCTGTGTTATGTATGCCTAAACAGCCAGTCAATTCATTACAGATGCAATCCCCTAAGTACATGAATAAGCACACAGCTTTCTCTCTTTCTCTGCCTCTCTGAACTGTAAAGGAGACAAAATATTGGTGTGATGCAGAGAGCTTTAGATAAATCAGAAACAGGAGCAAATTAATAATAAGGAATAAAACAACATTAGCTGATTAAGTATGTATGGTGGAGTGGCGGCTGTAATTTACAGGCAGCTGGGTTGGGTGTCCAGAATAAGGTCTCATTACGGATCACGGTGTGTGTGGATGTGTGTGTGTGTGTGTGTGTGTCCATCCCGTTAGTAATCCGTCACCAGTGGTCTCAGCTTTATGAAAAGGCCTGCAATCTATGATAATGAGCCCTGTGAAGGTTATGACCACGGTAAACTCATTTGTTAGTGGGAGGGCTTACGTATATGTGTGTGTGTGTGTGTGTGTGTGTGTCTGTTTTGTGTGTAACACACAACTGTATCATTAATGAGCGGTGAGGAAATATATTGTTAAAGTAATGGTCAAAATTCAAAGGAGTGAGCATGAGCGGCAAACACGTGGAGAAACAGCGAGTGCATCACATCACACAGTTTTAAAACAAACACAACACACAATGCAATCTTTTACTATGTGTGCCATCTACAACATGCACAGTTGCGTGATAGTCTCAGGCAGAGAAGGCCAAAATGCAGGAAACAGTCAAACATATCCTGTCTACAGATCCACAAAAGCTGCTACTTGTAGTAACAGTGGAACTGGAGCCATTAAAGGTTAAACAGCAGCAGTTTTTACTGTAGGGAAAAAAAAAAACAACAAAAAAAGCTCATAGCAGCAGTCATTCACAGTACCACTTCCCTCTCTGTCTTCCACTTCCATAGTTCCTCTTTCTCCTCCCTTTTCCTACATTTCTTTTTCTTTGTTTCCAGCCTCCAACCTCGTCACATTCTCTGTCTCCTCCTGTCTCTATCATTTGCCCCTCACCCACGCCTCCTCCTCCTTAACACCCCCTCATCACCACCACCACCACCACTACCACACACACTTTCCTTTCTCTTGTTTCTTTTCTATCTGAAAATAGTCCATCCATTTACGCAATCATTCCATTTTTTTTCCACTCCCCTCCAATCCTTTTTTCTCTCGAGCTAGGTCAACTGAAAGCAACAGAGGAGAAAAAACAAAAGCAGGAACGTGTGTGCGTGAGTCACCAGATCACAACAGAAAGCGAAGGATGAAAAAAAAAAAAAAAGGGATAATGCAACTCATGGTGATGGTGACTGGAAGGAACACGGCAGCTCCTTGTTCTACTGTGTCAAAGCCTGCATATTTAGACAAAGTGTGTGTTAAATGTTAAATTTGGATTCGAATTGTGTCCTAAGTGATCATTTGAGTGAACTTGATTCAAGTGTAAAGTGGTGCGGCTATGATGTTAGCCTGCAAGTAAAAAACACACATCTACTGCTGCCATCTGCTATGGAAAAGATACAGCATGGCACCAATATTCACATGCATTTCTTTGGACAGTTTCTTATAACTTCCTCTATGAGCTTCATAATGTAAAATTTCCTACATCAGTGCATTGCAGAACGATTGGCAGAATGTAACTTCCTAACAACTCCTAAGTTGATATCAAACCCACAGTGGCATATGTAGGCCTGGTTCATACGTGCAAATCTTCTGCAGAATTTTTTTTTTTTTTTTTTAAATATTCCCTCTATAAATTGTAAGAAGCATTTTTACAATGCAACTGCAGTTCCACTGTGTTTTTATGTTGCTCTACAGCTCACCAAAGCAAAGTCAGCAAAGTAATGCACAAAATGCGAAAGCACATGTCAAAGTTACAAATAACCTTAAACATCTTGTTTTCAATATTTATAATTCATTGATTTATTATTTAGTTTATTAAATCTCAAGAAACTGTGCAATATCCATCAAAGCTCCCCTATGCTTAAGGTCACATCTGCAAATTGTTTGTTTTGGTTGACCAACACTCCCTATCTGATATTTATTTTATGAAGATATAAAACTGAGAAAAGCAACCAATGATAACATTAAAAAAAAAAAAAACTGACACAAGCACATTTTTTAACAGCAACGTAAATAATTAACCAGCTAATAAAATTGTTGTTGACTGCTGATCATTTCAACATCTAATTGTTTCAACTGCAGCTGCTTTCATCCCAGTGTTGGCCCACTATAAAAGTTCTGTTCTGGTTGTTCTTAAAGTAAAACTGAAATAAAATAATTACCATACAGGTTAGGGAGCCACAGTCATCCCGGTGTATCAGATGGACCAGTTACAGTTCCATCCTGTGGCTGATATATTAACAAAGGTTTACAAGGGCAGGGCACTACATATGTAAGTTTGGCCTTATGGCTGACCTTACAATGCACTTAGTATCCTGTACAGGGAGTAATGCTGCAGCCACTCCTACAAGCCATTTATTCCAGCTAACGACCGTCAAGCACTCATAAATCAGCATTAGGAACCTCTTTCGCCCTCTCTCTCTCGTTTAGTTTCCCTCTCTTTGGCTGCCTCCATTGCTCTGATATTTTCTGTCTCTTTCTCTCATGCTTTCTTGTCTTCACCCTTGTCTACACATTTTTCCATCTTTCACTTTAACATTTTAAAACTTGCAACTCCTCTTTCTCCTTTCAGCTTCGCTTCCTCTTTTCCTCCTTCTCCCTTTCATATTGCTCCAGTGTCTGCCCATCTCCCCAAATCCCTTTTGCTTCCTGCTGCTCCTCATCTCTGTCTTTACCTTCCTGTTGTTTATGAATAGCTCCTCTAACCCCCTCGCCATCCATCCTGTTTCGCCCTCTCTTTC